AAGGTTAGGGTTAAAATTAGAATAAAGATGTAGTTATTGCAAAATTGAGTGCTAAACATTTTTGCTTAATATCTTTGGGGTTTTAATAGTAAAAATTTTAAGATATTGGCAATTGTTATTTTTTTTTTTATATACAAAATAACTTACCCACTGGTACAAATAGAAATCCTCTAAAAAATAATTCTCTAATTTTATATTCAATATAAAGTTGGTTTATTTTTATATTTTATATAATTTTATTAATACTTCTAATCTAATCTATACTTATATATTTTTTTACAATTCTAAAATATACAAATCTATATATAAATAATTATCATTAACATTAAAAATATGTCGTATTTCAAATTGAAATTTCTAAATCAAAATTAGCCAAAAGCAAAATTGGATTATATTTAGAGAGTTTAACTTTGGTTAATATTTCTATCTAAACAAATTTCAATTTGGAATACAACATATATATCTGCCTACCAAAGAGGATAAGATGCCAAATTAACGATTCTGGGAATAACTTTCGTGGCTTCTTCAACAGCTTCAACAGAAAACTTAATTCCCAATCCCCAAAGTTTCAATGTTCTTAAATATCCACCACTCTTCTTAGCATACATAGTAACAATCTCTAAGAATTCATCATCACAACCATCAACTCTTAATACCAATTCTCTAAATTTTGCAGGACACTCCCAAAGAAAATTATACATAATTTCAGGAGCCATATCAAAAGTAATTTCTAAATTTTGCAAAGTTACGGGAATAGATCTTGCTATTTGAAGAACGAAATCAAGAGTAAAAGGCATGCTGTGATCCTCCCATAAAAATAAATATTCCAACGGTAGAGAAGGAAGAAAAGGTAGCAAATGTGAGATGGAAGATGTTGACATTGTTAAATATAAATCCACAAGATTAGGACAATTTTGACCAATTATATCTATAAGTTCAGATGTCACTTCAAATAGCATTAAAGCTCTTAAATTTCTATTTGCCATCTTGATTATAATTCCTAAGGATTGTGTAACTAATTGAGGTTCACTTCTCGCATCATATGAAATTAATTTTTTAACACTTAGTGGTTTTCGTGGGTTTGTAATATAATCAAAAGATTCCATGTTTGGCTCAGGTACCATTAAAAATTCTAAAGTTTGTAAATTGACGCAACTAACTAACACTGATAACAATAAATCAAATTCGGTTAAATTTGTTAAAGTGAGATGAGTAATCGAGTGTGCTTGACTTTGAAGAGAGGAATAGAATTCATCCGTGTATTTAAATTCATCCCAAAATTCTTCTATATCTAAAAATTTTAGCTTGTCCTGCGAGCTAATTAATTCGAATATCGGTCGGCAAACTATAAGCGGAGGAGGTGGAGACCGTCGAAAAGGATCAATCGAAATTGTAATATGCGAAAGAGATCGAGTGTAGGTAGCAAGTTGACTACAAATTTGTGACTTATATTCAGAATTAAACGTCCATTTCTCTTCATCATCATTATCAAACTTCAATTCAAATCTCTCAAGTTCACTAAATGCTTCATAATAATAATTATAATTACTTTCTTTTTCTGATATTT